TGCACTTGCCAGGCAGATGCTGTGTTTTCCTTTTTTTGAGTCAGGTTCTTGCTGGCAGCCCAGGCTGGCCTTGGTCTCATGACCCTGTCTCCAAAAAAAAAAAAAAAGAAAGAAAGAAAGAAAGAAAGAAGAAAGAAAGAAAAAAGCCACTTGAACATAGATGAGATGATCAAAATATATGGTGAATATTTACTTAAAAAACGTTTATTACAAAGACATGTGGCCACTAATCCACTTAAAACACCTGCTCACTTTGAACACACTTATCCCACCATCCTTGCCACGCTCTGAAGCAGTGGCAGCAGCTGCGAATGTGAGCGTGGCCAGAAGTGGGAAGCCTTGAGTGTCACCCGTAGCCGCTCCCCGCAACCCCTAATCTGCCGCCTCCAACGGCGTCTGCCTCCATCCGCCCTGCCTCCTGCGCCCGGGCAAGGGCGTGCCTGCCCGGTCTGCCTGGAGGGGAGGCTGAGTCTGGGGTGTCAGAGAAACAGCGTCGGGGCTCCGCGCTTGTTTATCCCACCTCACCCTGGTCAGTGTCACTCTCCGCCCCAGGCAGGTGCGAGGTCAGTGAAAAGATGCCGGCTGCTATTTCGCAGGGGCTTTGGGCGGCGGGAGCCCGGGGTGACCTGGAGCTAACGGAGCTTTTCTGATGATCCCACATTTCCTCTCGCCCCTCTCTTTCTCAATGACCCAAAGGGCGCATTTCGCTTCTGTCAAATAGCTCTAGGCTTCCCTTCATCAAACTTACCACCCCCTTTAGAGATAGGGTCCTCACTAAGTTGCCCAGGCAGAGCTCAAACTTGTGATCCTCCTGCCTCAGCCTCCCATACTCAGGCCTTATGGATTCACACACCAGACTTCCACGGCCCTGTTAGAAGGACCTTGGGGGAGAGGAGGCAGGGGCCCAGGCTGGGAGACTGTAGAGCCCTTTATACTCTTCCCTCCTACTCCCTCCCTCTGTTTGTTTGAGTTGGGAGGAAGCCAATCAGATGCGCAGGATCGGAGTGTCCCACTGAGGAGACAGGGGCTATTTGTCTTCTCTCGTGAGCAGCAGTGCGGAAAGGAGGAGGGAAGGGCTAGGGACAGCATGCAGGGACAGAAGACAGCCAGTCAGACCAAGAAGAGCATCGGCAGGCAACCCCCGCATTATGAGGTATAATCCCAGCACCTGGGCAGAGGGGGGATTAGCGAAAAGGCACAAATTTCTCCCTGGAAGGTGCGGGGCCCCAGCGGCTGAGGCCTGGGACAACTTGCCTCTTTCCCACCTCGTCTTCATTTGGTGACTGAGGAAGTTCATCAACCACAGACCCCATCCCACAGTGCAGATTCTACAAACTCAAAGCTACTGATCTGGGAGCAGATAACAAGGAGGCTAAGAAGCTGCTTCAAACTCTAACTGTCTAGGTGTGGTGGTACAGGCCTGTGATCCCAGCCCTCCAGGAGGCTGAGGCAGGAGGACCATAATTTGACCCCAGACTAAGAAATTTAGTGACTTAGTGAGACCTTGTTTAAAAAAAAAATGAAAAAGGGGCCGGGTGTGATGGCACACACCTGTAATCCCAGCACTCTGGAGGCTGAGGCAGGAGGATTCTTGTGAGTTTGAGACCAGCCCGGGATACAAACTGAGCTCAAGACGAGCCTGGACTGCATAGTGAGACCCTGTCAGAAAAAGATGGAAAAGAAGAAAAAGAAAAAGAAAAGAAAAAGCATTGAGTATGCAACCCAGTGAAAGGCCCTGTATTCATTACACAGTACCCCTACAAAAACAAACAAAGAACTATTTCTAAATGGCTCCTTATGGGGGCAGGTAGTAGTAGTAGGGAGTCCTTCTGCATTGATAACAAAAAAGAATTGGGTTTACTCTGGATCATTAAGAATTGACAGTTGATCTGGGGAGGTACACGTGTACATGCTGGGTACCTAGGAAGTGGAAATTCATGAAGGTCAGCTGGGCGAGGTGATGCACACATATAAGCCCAGCACCCGGAAGGCTGAATAGGAGGGTCACAGCAGGTTTGAGGCCAGCCTGGGCTGTATAGTGAGTTCAAGGACAGCCTGAAATACATAGTGAGACTGTCTCAAAAAAAGAAGGAGGAGAAGCAGCAGCAGCAGCTAGGCATGGTGGTGCAGGCCTGTAATCCTAGCACTAGGGAGGCTGAGGCAGGAGAAGTGTCATGAATTTGGGGCCAGCCTTGGCTATATAGAGTTCAAGGCCAGCCTGGACTACATAACAAGCCCCTGTCTCAAAAAAAAAAAAAAAAAAAAAAAAAAA